ATTTATTACAATTTTAAGTACAATTTTAAATGGGAAAAAAATCACTGCAAGCATTGCACAGAACAAAGAAAAATTTTAAATTGTAACGATAAACTGTTCGGTGGTCTAGGTGGAAAAAACTTTATATAATCCAAAAAATCACTGAAAATATTCTTGAAGCGCACAATTTAACTGCGAAGTTTAATGGAGAAGTGGTCTTGTTGCAGCAGACCAATCGTCAGAGGGTGAGCGAACTCGATGAACAAAATTTTGGAGCACTTTTTCCACTAAATTAAGTCGAAAGGTAATGAATAACACGTTCAAAATTGATTTCTAAAGCTTGAAGAGAGTCTGGYTTMCCAATGACTTCAAAAAATCTCTGAAACAATGGTCTAATTGTATTAAATCACAACTTCTTGGAGACCATTCAATGTCACAATTTCTTGAAATTGTCAAAACTCCAAACTTTTATCCCAATAGTTCGGTTGCTGCAAGTGCAGCGTGGCACTTAGCCCCGTCTTGTTGGAGCCAGATGGCGTCAAGATAAATTTCTTCCAATTGCAGCCCTAAAAAGTTTTTTATTATGTATTTATATCGCGCTTCATTGGCAGTAATGGCGTCAAGTGCTTCATTTTGAAATTAGTACGGACCGATGTTTCTACCAGTCAAAAAAAAACACACTAAACTGTCAATTTAGGTGAATGTAATGGTTTTTTCATGAAGAATTTGTTTATTTGCTTCGCACAGTTTGGTTTATTTACCGCACCACGCAAATGAAAGTCAACTATAACAATTGTTATAGTTTTTAAGGCAAAATTAGCAAATTCACGTCGGTTATCCAACGCCTTCWGTGCTTSAGTGAGAACAATTTTACACGGATGCAAGCCCAAATCCTTTAACAGTACACAATGAAATACGGGCACCCAAAAGTCCAATAAGATTAAGCAACAAAGAAACAGTACTGTTCAGAATTCGCTAATTTTCTGTACTCTACCACATAGAAAAGTCGGTTGATCAGTTTGTGATTGCACGCATTAGATGCCAGTTGAAAGTGTTAAAAATCACCGATCTCTGCAAGCAATATTTTATTAACATGGGTGCATACTCGTATATGCAATTTTTTTAATTACCGTTGTCTAAGCATTTATTTTTTCTGACATATTTACATAGTCAAAGCAGGCATTTATTAGCATTACAATGAAATTTATTTAAATAGCTCAACGGCGCTCTTGCCTTGAACCACCCTAACGTTCGCTAATGCGCAGGTAAACACACACACACACATACGCATTCATATACATAAACTACATTTYCATCTTGCGCCATTATCAGTTCTTGGGTATGCCGCAGCGAATCACTTTAAAACTCACCCCCCGAAAAGGAAGCGTGTTGATTTTCGTGCAGATGCTTAAATTTTTGGAATTTATAACCCGACAGAGCTGGCAGCAACCTTTAGCACCGCCTGGGGTAGCATTAACGAATGAAATATGATAGCTTAAATGTTTTAAAGAATGCTTAAATATTTATGTATTTATGTGTATGCGTGTATGTATGTTTACATATTGCGCATTAGCAATTTTCATGGCCATTACTGGTTAAAAGTGCACATATGTGGAGATTAATGCTTTTTAACGGCGCTATAACAAAAGTATATATTTATGTATATATGTATGTATGTATGAAAGATAAGCCCTTATGCAAATCATTATCACTTGCTTACCTTCAATTACATAAAATATTTATCAAATTATAACTAATAAAACTCCACCATCTGTTTTTTGTTTCTGTGTGTGTTTTCCAGGCACCCATGGCCTTCTACCCCACATGGCAGGCTGATCCCTCACAGGGTTGGCAAAATCAATTTATCCAGCAAATTCCACAGAACACACCACCCATCACATCGMTCAACTCTTTGGATTTCCAAACGCAATCATATGCCTACCCATCAAATGGTTATGTGCAGACTGGGCTCGGATTTGATCCGAATTACGGACGTTCTCCRTATGGTGCTCCCGTACAGCGTTACGATTTCCAGAGTCAACAACTCTCGACTGCACCCATCAATCAGGTGGGACTGCAGGGTGTTGGCTTCAGTCCGGCCGCCGTTACATATGCCGGTCAGGTGTCGACAGCGCCAGCACCGCCTTCGGTTGGTTTGCAACAGCAGCAACATTTGGGTGTGTCATCTGGTGATTTGAATAAGACGATGTCGGGAAACGACACGCCTGGATATCCGCGAGTGAGCAGCGTGCCGCCGCGCTCACTCAATTGTAACGGGTATTCAGGCGACTACAGCGGCTCAAGTCAACAACAGCAACAGACAACAACGAGCAACAACAGCTCAGCAGCTGCAGTAGCCGGCACCGCAATTGCCGGCAACAATGCGAACGCCACACCGCTAAACGGTGGTCAAACTACAGCAGCAGCGACAACGGCTGCCATTGATGCAACACCGATGCAACCGCCAAGCATCCCCAATGTGCCACAATCGCCAACGCGTAATCTGATGCAACAACAACAGCAGCARCAACAACAACAACCCCGCCATGTTTCTCAGTCACCGAACCATATTGCACAATCGCCCAACGGCAATATGACAACGGCACAACAGGCCTACGGCACCAACATTCCACCCTCGCCACATCACAATTCCATGCAGCAACAACAACAACAACAACAACAGCAGCAGCAGCAAGGGCAAAGCCACATTGCATCACCGCCACAAGCACAACAACACCAACAGCAACAGCAGCAGCAGCAGCAGATGCAACAAGACTGGAATTGGAACAGCCAGTCACAACAGTCCCCAGCGATTGGCGCCACCAGTGATCCTTACCAGCAGGGTGAACGCGTTAATCTGAATACGCGTATAAAATCGATGATACTTCGGAAAAATGATCCCAAAGATCCGCTCTCAAGCACCCCTACCGATCTGCATATGTCCAGCAATCCCGCAACGCTCGGTGCCGGTTCCAATGCGTTGGGCACCAACCAACAAGCGCAGACCGGTCATTTTTTATCGTATAGCCACCATCTCCGCGGCGATTCAGTAATGAACGCCAATGGTACGACTGGTTCTAATGTGTCTGCAACACAAGCTGCACAACAACAGCAGCAGCAGCAGCAGCAACAGCAACAACAGCAGCAAATGCAAGGCATACAAACGTCCAATAGTTCCGGTTTGACACCCGGTCATGGCACATTAGCAGCCGAACCAATAGGAGGTGGTGGCGATCAAATATGGAAGCCACACCACACGAATTCGTTTAAGAAACCGGTGGCGAGTAGCTTCCCCACAGCCGAACATCATCATCAACAACAGCATACAACAATCAGTCATGGTGGACACACCACTATAGCACACACTGAAGTCCAACCGAAAAAATCCAGTCGTAAGAGTAAAAGTCGTGCTGCCGCAGCAGAAGCAGCTGAACTCGATAAGAATAGCAATGATCCTGGTGGCGGACTTCATGGTCCACTACATGGCTCACATAATATAAAATCTTTGGATAAGACTGGCTACCCACCCTCACATGGCTATCCGCCGCCACAACATCCTGATTACCACACGCCATATATCAAGACCGAACCGGGTCTCTTGCCTGCCCAACATACCAAAATGGAGGGTTACGAGCGCAACTATCAGAACTTCATACAATATGCCGACTTTTGCCAGAATGAGGTACAAGGCATGCCATCACAACAACAACACCACCAAAGTCAGCAGGATTATGCCAGTTATCATAACTCACCATACTATGGCGGCTCGAGTTCATTCCAACAAAGTTATCAGCAAAACTTTGTGCCCGGCTATCAACACTCGTCGGGTAGCATGGGTTATGGCAGTACGCATGGCATGCATCCGCATCACTCCAGTTCGCTTGGCCATTCCAGCCACATAAAAGCATCCAACGGTCCACTAATGAAGTCCAGTAGTAGTTCTAGCTTACATCACCACAACAACCATCATTTAATGGATATTGACCGCAAACCGGATACCAATAGCATCATACCATTGCCCACAAACTATGAAAAAGACATACCAGCCCATGCGTATCCCATACCACCGCATCGGTATCCACTAGGACCAACGCCATCGCACTTGGGTCACACGATGATTGAGCCGAAAATCGAAGACTTGGGTGTGCTATCTCATAACACCAGTTATCCGTTTATGGGTGAAGGTGGACCAGCAGTAATGAAAAATAGTTCTGGCTTTTCCTGTTGCCGACAAGGCGGCACACGCACACCCACCGCGGAACATCTCAAAGGCGGCACTTGTACGGGTATACAAACTAAGGACGAAATTATGGATGAACCAATAGAAGAGCCTGAAGTAAATAATGGCGCAAAACCTAAGAAAAAGGGCGCAAAGCAGGAAGATAATGAAATTGTCGTTAAGCATGAGAAAATTAATCCAATGTTTGATACCTCAGATAGATTGGAAAAAGGCAACAAGACAGAGATACCAGAGTGTGAGTGCTTTCATTCCGACAAGAATCCACCCGAACCTGGTACATACTATACGCATCTCGGTGAGTCGAAATGTGATGTCAACAAAGGAGACACAACTGAATACTTATACTTGCAACATTCCTTTCAGGTACTGCATCGACTTTGTCGGAACTGCGTAGAGAGTTCGAAGAACGTTGTCAAATTTCTGGTAGGCAGCTGCGTATAGAGAAGATCATTTACACGGGCAAGGAAGGTAAGACCACGCAAGGTTGTCCCTTGGCAAAATGGGTTATACGACGCGCCGATCCAGAAGAAAAAATTTTGGTTGTTGTCAAGAAGCGACCAGGTCACAGGTAATCCAACACACTAGTAAAAGTTTAGAATGCCCGAAATTAACAAGATTTTTTCAACTAAATAGGTGCGGCGCTGCTTTCATCATCGTGTGCATGGTTGCTTGGGATGGCATGCCGCGTCTAGAAGCGGATAATGCTTATAAAAATCTTATACCAAAGCTTAATAAATTCGGACTTCCAACAACGCGTCGCTGTGCCACCAATGAAAGTCGCACCTGCGCATGTCAAGGTATGACGAGCTGTCTTTATACATTGTCATAAGTGAATAAATATTTTGTATTACCTCCCTGTTCTAGGTCTTGATCCTGAAACATCGGCTGCCTCGTATAGTTTTGGTTGCTCTTGGTCCATGTACTATAATGGCTGTAAGTATGCACGCTCGAAGACGGTACGCAAATTCCGACTGTCCGTTAAAAGTGAAGAGTCGGCCATCGAAGACCACATGAATCTTTTGGCCACCGTGTTGGCACCACTCTTCAAACAAGTTTGCCCCCGTTCATATGACAATCAAACCAAGTACGAAAAGGAGGCAACAGACTGTCGTCTGGGACTGGAAACTGGACGACCCTTCTCTGGCGTTACCGCTTGTCTAGACTTTTGTGCGCATGCACATAGAGATTTGCACAACATGCAGGACGGCTGTACAGTGCAAGTAGCGCTGCTGAAACCATCAAATCGTGATGGACGTCCACCCGACGATGAACAATTGCATGTGCTACCGTTATACACCATGGACACGACGGACGAATTCGAAAGCATGGAGGGGCAACGTGAGAAACATCGCACCGGCGCGGTACAAGTGTTGGACAAGTGAGTGTAGTGTTGAGTTTTAATAGCAGCCCATTGGCGCGTGCATCCACACGTTGGAACATTCAATAATGCATCGTTTGAAATATTTACACTTTCAGATTTCCCTGTGAAGTACGTGTGCGCTCCACACCGCTCATACCTTGCCGGCGCCATGGCAAAAAGCGAAAAGAGGACGAAACGCCCGCACCTGATGCCGAAGCGGCAGCCACTAYGGCCGCCACAACGCCGACAACACCAACACCTACTGCCACRCCGCAACCGACGAACAATGCCGCTAACGCCAACAACAATAACGGAAACAATGGCACTGCTAATGTGGCTAACAACAATACCAACACGACTGCAATCAACGGCAAGAAGGAAGGTGGCGGTAGCAATGGTAAATCAAAGTCGAAATCAAAAGCGGGGGCTGCAGTCAATAACACAGCCACAACACCGTTATCAGCACCGCCATCAACACCGTCGCCGCGCTGTCAAACGCCTGTGACCAACAATCCCAGTCCGGCAGGCAGTGCGTTCACAACACCGCCAGTGAACAATAACAACAATCCACATATGAATACCGCTGTGAACAACGCGGTCGGAGGTAACCCACCTAATCAGCTCATGTCGTCCAATTCCAGTCTAATGAATATGGCGACTATGATAGATACCTTCACAGATGCKCAATTGCAATCCAATCAGATCTCAAGCACGGTGCTCGATTCGCCCTACTCGTACGACTACCAGACCGGTTCCTACATAGACTCACGCAACTACTACGGCAATTGGCCACCGCCGCATRCCACGCACGCCACACACGCAGTTGGCATGAGCGCGGCACCAGGCGCCACTGCAGCACCGATGGCACCGCCGCAAGGCAACGTACATCATACCACCACCGCCGCACCGCTAACACCACATCACGACACGACCAATGCAACATATGGTAGCAACTACAATAATCTACCAACGGCTGGTAGTCAACAGCTGACGCAAGTGCATGACGTGCGCGGCGATGTGAAGAGCCGCGGCAGTGAGGAGAACCCCGACTCCACCACCATAGTGAATAATACTTTAGCTGAAAGTAAGTTGACCACACTCACTCCATTGACACCAATGACTAATCTAACACAACACCATCAACATCCACACCATCATGCTACGCCCATCGAAGAAGGCTTTGTCAAACCAAAACCACCGGCAGACTATCAGTACACCCAGTACCCAAGCAACTATCAAATGTATCCGCCACCACATTCGGCCTACTCCGCCTACGACGCGTACCAGAACATGAACTACAACTATGGTTATCATCAGGCCTACTCACCGTACAGCATGTATCCGCAGCAAACACCGCCGCATACGCCGCCACCACCATCACCGAACTGGAATATGTACGGTCATCATCAGAGCACCGCCTCCACGGCTGCGTACGCAACCACAGTGCTACCGCCGAACGGTGGTACGCATCAGCACGCTTCGTTAGCCACGGCCATATCACAGGCGCAAACGCAAATGCCGATCTCCAATGGCAATCTGAAGAATTCGTTATCCACACCAGTGGCACAGGTCACACCAACAGTTGACGCTCAACAGATGCAACAAGTGCAAACGCAAGCGCCGGTACAGGCGCAAACGCAGCTACCAATGGTGCAAGCACAGACTGTGCTGCCCGATCTCAACAACGGCAATGCGCAGTCGACACCGTTAAACACGGAGCTTACGAACTCCAACCCGACGCTGATTGCAAATGCTAATGTAACCTCACCCATTGCCAATACCGCTGTGCCGACACCAATYACTGCTATCAGCAATGATAACAGCAACAACAGCACTAGCAACAGCAATGATAACGGCAGTCCAACAGCATTGAATGGCGCTGCAACCGACGCGGGCGCAAGTAATTGCGGCACAAGTAGCAGTACCAACACAACAACAACGACAACCACCACTACTGCCACAGCGGCGGTGGCAACCACCTCCAATCCGAATAAGTTGGAACCGATTGGCGAGGTAACGGAAATCAATGACAATTACGAAGCATTCGCCGACCCACAAATGGGTGGTGTGGCCATTGCGCTCAATCACGGCAGCGTACTGATCGAGTGCGCCAAGCACGAGTTGCATGCAACAACGGCATTGCGCAATCCCAATCGACATGAGCCGACACGCATGACACTCATTTTCTACCAACATCGTAATTTGAATCGTGCGCGTCACGGCATCGACGAGTGGGAGGAGAAGATGCGTGTGAAGAAAATCAACACAGACCTCGATAATAAAGCCAAAGAAGAACGTGAAAAGCTAAAGAAAGAGCTTGAGGGTGGTGATGGCGAAGAAGACGAAGACAATGCTGAAGGCGCGCTCACAAATGGCACAGCACAGGGTAGCAACAGCGGCACGGGCGGTGGCGCCAAGAAAGACGGTACGAACGCAACAAATAACGGTAATTGTGGTGCTCTGGCAACACCAATGGAGACGACAACGCTGGCAAATAGCGCAGTAACGGCACCGGCAACAGTGAAGAGTAGCGGGAATGGCGGTTCGGCAAGCAAAAAGAAAAAGGATTCGGGTAAGAAGAATGCCAACTCAAATGCAAATGTGAACGAAATTGCTAATGAGAATTCTGCTTCTTCCGTTGAGCAGGCAAAAAGCGGGAAGGCGTCACTCCACGCGCCAACACTAACAACCACCTCATGGACGACCCTCTTTCCTATGCACCCGTGTGTGGTTACGGGACCCTACCAGGAGGGCAACACTAGTCCAACAGCGGCAGCAAACGTGCAACAAGAGCAACAGGAATTGCAACAGCAGCAGCAACAGCAGCAGCAGCAGCAACAGCAATTGCAGCAAGAACCGCTTAAGCAGCAATTGCAGGAACAACAGCAACAGCAATTGCTGCAAGAACAGCATAAGCAACAATTGCAACAGCAACAACTACAGCAGCAGCTAATGTTACAACARCAGCAGCAACAGCAACATCAAATGCCTGCATAAGTAGGCGCCGTGTGTGCGTCAGCCTGTGTTGCCTCCATTCAACTTGTGTATTAAGGTAGCTTTTGTTTTTGTTTGAAGCAATTAGCTATAAAATACATTTAAGCCGAGTTTTTCATTCTCTTTTTCTTTTTTTTTTTTTTTTGTCAGACGAGCTTCTAACTGTTTTGCTCGTATTTGTTCATACAAACTTATTCTTAACACGTTTAGTGCCATATTTTCGTTGTTTGTATTTTTTGACATCTGTGGGTAACTGTAACAAGCACAAGGTAGCTGTAAAACAAAGAGAGTGACAATCTAGCCGTTGAAAAATATTTTTGAAATTATTCAGCTCATAACACACATACAAACATACTTTTACTTACTATTTGTTGTTCATACAACTGTTTACATAACGGAAATTCAAGAAAATTTAGCGTTGAATGCAACAGTCTAACGACAACAGATAGCGAGTGACATGAGACATAAAATTTTTATAAACAAAAAATATTATTAACACAATGCTGCAGTAAAAAACTACTCATATTTCAAAAAAAAAATGTTTTTCTGTGTTTTTAAAAGACAAAGAGTTCACTATAATAAAATATTTTTTCTATTTGCTTTAAAAGAACTTGCAACAAATTACACACAGAGAACTAAGCGTTGAACATTAAAAATTTTATTTACATAAATATTTTACCTAAACGTGAGTGTTGAAATTTTTGCTGCAGGCAAGAAATGTATATATATTTCTAAAAAAAATATCATAAATTTGCGCAAACTAATTTAGCAGGCGTTAAATATAACAAAAATTAGCACAAAACTCAAATATTTTTGAATTATTGAACTTACACAAACAATTCAAAAACAAAATTTTCACGCTCACAACAACTACAAACACACAAAACTACTAAGTAAAATAATATGAAGAATACTCTACAAATTACTAAAATACTAAACTAGTTAAATCAAATACACATAGCAGCAGCAACAGCAGTATCAGAAACAACCACAACAAAAACAAATCACCTTAGTAATACTCCACTTATTTTCTTAAATTAGTCATACACGAAAGCAAGACTATAAATTTAGCAAAGAGTAAAAAGCATAAACAATTTGAAAACACACATACTAATAGCAGCATACTTATATACATACATACGTACATACATACATAAATTCATACAGCAGTTTGGAGTGAAATAAATTTTTTATGCAAATAGCCGACAAAACTCATTTGAAATACAAATGTAGCATACTTTTAAGTACATACATAAATACTAAGTGAAAAAGTCAACAAATTACAAATAAAAAAAATTTACTGTTAGAAAACAAGAACATTGCCAAAAGTACAAAGAAAATAAAACCGTTTTTAATAGAAAAAATACAAAATTAAAATAAAAATACAAAACACAAAATTTCACTACACAAGTACAKACATAGCGCATACAAACAAACATATAAGCAGCTTAAAAACATACTTACTTACATAACAAATAAATCATAAATTTTACGAAAARGCAGTTTAGGGGCACAAAACAGTAAACAAAATAAACACAGTTAAAATAAATAATTAAAAATATATAATTTTAGTAAAAAAAAAATTTGTGGGTTCAATTAAACAACAAATTTCAAAATTTTTCTAAACTATAAATAATGTCTGCAGTGTACGTTTTCATAAAAAATCAACAAGAAATTGGAAATACAAACAGGCATCTTAATGGAAACTGTTTGTAAATATTTTTAAAGTAGCTTGAATCGCAAGACAAAACTCAAAGACAACTTATTTTGGTTTAAATTGTATATTTATTGCGTTATTACTTATTTAATACTGGTTAGTGCATCAAAAAAAAWTTTTTTTTAATTTCCAAAAATTTCATAACTAAAAATAAAAAAATTGCATTATAAATAGGTAAAAAAATTCAAAACTTTGCTGAGTTTTTAAAAGAAAGTATTTGTAAATATTTTCCAAATTAATTCCAATTTTGGGTGAAACTCAAAAATATATTTGGTTCAAAATACATTATTAATAAACTTTATTTGTTTATTACAGCTTATCGCACTGAAAAAAAAAATTATTTTTTCCAAAAAACATGTTTTTTCCAAAAAATTTGGGTTTTCCAAAAATTTTCAAAACCATAAAAAATAAAAAATACTGTAACACATTTTCGTAAAAWATTGCAAAGGAAAAAAATTTCAATTGTTAGTCGAAACTGAAAAGCAATCATATTTTTGAATAAAAAACAATTGTTTTTAATTTTCTTTTATTAACTACAGCTTAGTTTGAATATGTATTTTAACTAATTTTATTACTAATTTTGCATWAAATTCATGAAAAATCTGCATATTTTTACATAAACTCAAATATTTTGCAGTTTTCAAAATTATTTCAAATTTAAAGCACACCTAACCTAACATTCAACGAACAAAATACATTTAAAATAAAACAAGAAAAGCAGGTTATATGCYTCATTAAGTCCTTTTGAAAAACTGTTTTGACTAATTTATTATTATTTTTTGTATAAAGTCTATGAAAAACCAGCATATCTTCGAAAAATCTCAAACGTTAATTGAGTTTTATGCAAAATGCTGCAAAAATGTGTTTTTCGTTAGCGTTCTTTAAAGTAATTAACTCATATCTCTTATACACATCTAGATGTGTATAAGAGACAGGTATATACTTCAAGAAAACATAAATAAATACCCGTAAAAATACTGCGCATATAAACGCGAAAAGGCAGAATACTGACACACACACACATACTTAGTTTATAGGCAGCGAAAGACATCAAAATAAGCAAAAGATTGAGCAAGAACATTTTAAATAAAACATAAATACTTATCAAAATGTATACATACATATACATAGACATAGGGAATGGCGTGTTTTACGCAAGATTTAAGCGAAAGTAAAATTAAAAATTATAAAAAATTAAAATTAGGCAAACACACATACATACATATAAACAAAGCAGTTAGTGGCATTAACGATTATTGTTTTCAATAATTATGAAATACATAAATGCAAAAAAAATTGCATGCGCGTATTTAACATTAAAAATATAGATGGAAGACAAAAGTAAATAAAGTAAATTACAAAAATATAATAAAAAATATTTTTATTACGTAAGTAATAAAAAAATGTAGACTTAAACACACAAACAAACAAGCGGCAAGCACTAGTTAGCGTGTAAAAATATTTACGCTAAAAATTTATAAATTTCAGTTACTTGTATAATCATTTTTTATTTTTATTTTTAGTTATAAGATATTTAAAGAAATTTTTAAGTTTCTCTAACTAGTTGTAAGCAAAACAAAATCAACACAAGACATTTTTGAGAGCAGAAGTTCGGGTTAAAGAAAGAGATTTATTATTATAAATATTATGAATATTATAATTAAAGATATGATAGAGATAAACGCAAGAAAATATATATTTATTTACGTAAAAGATTGAGAAAACAAAAGCAGTGCAGTGGAAGACAGCAAAACTAATTACAATAAGGCATTATTAGTGTACAATATATTGTACATTGYAGTTGTTTAGCATGAAAGCCAGAAAATTGAAGGGTGCGCATTTTGAGCGAGTATGAAAAGATGAGTAAAAATAAAGAATATTAAAATTATACCTAAGAAGAAGCGGAAGGAGAAGAGCGAAGGAAGCAACTAAGCAAGAAATAAATAATAATAATAATAATAAATAATAGTACACAGCAGGCAAACAAGTTAAACTGATATAAAAATTTAAGCTGCAAATGGCAATTGGACGTAAAAATTTAACAAAAAAGACTCGAAACCAGCAAAGTATTAAGTACGTAATGAAGCATATGTAAATTGTATGATTATACACACACATACATATATACATATACAATGTATATTGGTTTTTACATAATTAGCGAGCCAAGCATGACGCAACACGTCTACAAATCAAAAATTAACATTAAAAGCATAAATAAAAAACAAATCTCAAACATTTACATACATATATACAAACATATGTATATATATTACATATATATACTTGTGTAGCTATGAATGCAACACATATGTATGTAATAAGAAAATACTAATGAAATGGAAATACAGTAATTTACATGCGTCAAAAGCGCTTAAGTCTAAAAAGATGAAATATAAAACTACAACAACTACAACTACACAAAAATATATATGCATACGTCATGTAACAACACATACAAATTAATAAATTAATTTCAATAATTAATAAAATTATTTCAATAATGAATTAATTAATTTCAATAATGAAGCCATTAATTTCAGTAATTAATCCATTAATTTCCTTAATTAAATTTATTAATTAAGCGCATAAAACTMACCAACGACAACAAATCAATCATACAAAATTACGCATAACATATGTTTTGTATATATGCATAAGCTTCAATGCATACAAACATACATGAACACATCCATTCAAGCAATGTGTTTGCCACAGCAGCCATGCAACTAAAGCATTTCCTTCATACACACACCCGCACTCATACATACATACTAATCATGCATAGCGCAACAAAAASGCGTAACGTTCAAGACTTTGACAAAAATCAACAAAAAAAAATATAAACAAAATCAAAATAGTTTTACTTACTTATTCAAATTAACTACTAAAATATAATTTTATTTATATATTATTACATTATTTTCATAACTAAATATATATTTTTCTCTTCTTACTATAGTACTTGCAACATAAAGTGCATATTTTAGTTATGCATTTTTATAAATTTGTATTAATTTAATTCATCAGCTTAAACGCGTTACTATTTATTACAAAAAAAGTTAATAAAAATAAAACAAAACGAGAAAAAACAATGTTAATTGAATTTCAATAATTGTGTAGCTGTACTGTTCAAGAATTAACTTTAATTTATAGTTACTAATTTTATTATTATTTTTTTGTCAATAATTTCCCAACAATTGCAACCAACGCTTCGGCTTGTTTTGTTGCCTACATAATTACGAAAAAAACAAATAATAATAATAATAATATGTATGTGTAAATGAAAAGTGAAAAATGAGCGTAACAAATCCAAAAAGCAACAAATTGAAAAAAATAAAAATTAAAACAAAGAAATTGCGCGCATGTGCCACTGCGATGTAATTCGTTGGCAAAAGATATTTGCAAGTTTACATTAAGATAATCTTAATGGTAAAACAAATGCACATAAATACATATATATTATATATATA